TTTTAAGCGACTCCTTTACATATTTCTGCTGATGGATCATAGTTCCATTTGAGTTTTTTTTAGTTTGTAAGCCTAGAAAGAAATTGAGCTCACCTATCATACTCATTTCAAATTCACTCCCCATTAGTTTAGCAAATTCCTTACTTAGTTTTTTGTCAGTTGCTCCAAAAATTATGTCATCAACATATATCTGTACTACTAAAAGATCTTTACCTTTTTCCTTCAAGAATAGAGTGTTATCGATTTTACCTCTCTTGTAACCATGTTCAAGCAGAAATTTTGATAATCTTTCATACCATGCTCTAGGAGCCTGCTTGAGTCTATAGAGTGCCTTGTCAAGTCTGTATACATGATCAGGACACTCCTTGCTTTCAAATCATGGAGGTTGCTTGACAAACACTTCTTCCTTTAAGTAGCCATTAAGGAAGGCACTCTTGACGTCCATCTGGTGAAGAGTAAATTCCATGTAAGCCGCAAAAGCTATGAGGAGTCTTATTGCTTCCAACCTTGCAACTGAAGCAAAGGTCTCATCATAGTCTATGCCCTCATCTTGGCTATATCCTTGAACCACCAATATTGCCTTGTTCCTTGTAACAGTTCCATCTTCATCAAGTTTGTTTATGAAGACCCATTTTGTACCAATTACTGATCTGTCCTTGGGTTTTGGAACCAGATGCCAAACTTGACTCCTTTCAAACTGGTTGAGTTCATCTTGCATTGCATTTACCCAGTCTGCGTCCTGCAAAGCCTCAGCAATATTTTTAGGTTCAATAAGAGATAAGAAAGCATCGAAAGCACAAAGATTCTTTAATGAAGATCTAGTTTTAATTCCGGAGGTTGGATCAGTAATTATGTTCTCAATGGGATGAGAACTTTGGTACTTGTAAGTTTTCACAACCAACTGGTTTCCTCTTGATATTTCTCCAATGTTTTGTTGCTGAGGAACAGGCTCATGGACAGGATCCATTGAGGTATTAGATTCAGTTTCTCTTTGTTCAGTTCCCCCTGTCAGGTTGCCCTGGCGAGAAGCACATGTTCCTTCTTTTGGTGCAGCTTCAGCCTGGGCTGTGATTTCATTTAAACTTCTTACCGAGCCAATAGCTTCATCTTCATGTTCCTCTCTTACATAAAGAATGTTAGTTTCATCAAAAACCACATGTACATTTTCTTTTACATACATAGTTCTTTTGTTGTACACTTTATAAGCTTTGCTATGTGAAGAATATCCCAAGAATACTCCCTCATCACTTTTGGGATCAACTTTACCTAGGGAGTATTTTCCATTATTGTGCACAAAGCACTTGCATCCAAATGCCCTAAGATGAGATATATTTGGTTTTCTCTCTTTAAGTAACTCATAGGGAGTCTTCTCTACAAGAGGTCTAGTCATGCACCTATTGATGATGTAGCATGCAATATTTACAGCTTCTGCCCAGAAACTATGGGGCGGTTTGCTAGAAAGAAGCACAGTCCTAGCTATATCTTCAAGTGTCCTATTCTTTCTTTCAACTACTCCATTTTATTGTGGAGTCCTAGGAGCAGAAAAATTATGATCTATGCCATGCACATCACAAAATTCAGCAAACTTAGCATTTTCAAATTTAGTTCCATGATCAGACCTAATTGATGCAAGTTGATTACCTAGTTATTTCTGAGTTTTTCTAACAAAAGGAGTAAACATGTCAAATGCTTCATCTTTAGGGGTGTGTTTGGTATGAAGGAAAATATTTTCCAATTTTTCCATGTTTGGTCGGCTTAAATGTTTTGGAAAATATTTTCCTTATCAATTCATTTTCCTCCAATTGGAGGAAAATATTTTCCTTATCAAAGAAGGGAAAACATTTTCCAAAGCTCTTTCTCAACCTTCCCGCCCTCACCAACCCACCCCACCCCATCTCCAAAAAAAGTTTTTTTTTTCAATTCAGTTTTTTCTTACTACCCTTCCAGCTCCCCTCCCCCCCCCCCCCCCTCCCGCAAAAAAAATACCTTACATTTTTTTTTTGCATTTTCAAATTTCTATTTTTTCATTTTTCTGCACCACCCAGCACCCGCCCCACCTCCCTCCCACCCCCACCCCCACCCCCCGCACAAAAAAAAATTTTACTTTTTTTTGTTAATTTAAATTTTTTTTTTTTTTTGTTTACTGCCCCCAGCCCTCCCCCTTCCTCCGAAAAAAAAATTTAAAGATATTTTTCAGGTTTAATTTTATTAAGTATCGGTTTAAAGGCTCAAAATTTTACAAGTTTCAAAATCATGAGTTCGGAGGTTTATGTGTTTGGAAGTTTATGGGTTTAGAAATTATAAAGTTTACGGGTTCGAAATTCCGCGATTTTGAAGTTTATGAAATTTGTGGGTTCGTTAGGTTGTTGGTTTGAAAGTTTATGGTTTCATGTTTATTATATCTAAATTATTTTTGAATACTCTTGAGAAGTTATTTTCCTTAATTTGCGTACCAAACACCGAAAAATGAATAAGATTACTACTTGTTTTCCAAGAAAATATTTTCTTGGAAAACATTTTCCACGGAAAACATTTTCCGTTATACCAAACATACCCTAGATGTTAAAAACAATGTCCAGGTAAACCTAGAGTAATCATCAACAAGCAGCATCACATATCTTTTACCACCTCTGCTTAAAGTTCTCATTGGACCACAGAGATCCATATGGACCAGTTCCATCGATCTGGTTGTGCTTACCACTTTCTTACATTTGAAAGAGGATCTTACCTGCTTCCCGTTTGCACAAGCCTCACAAACTTTGTCTTCCTTAAACTTGATGTTAGGTAACCCTATCACCAGCTCCTTGGAGACTAATTTGTTGAGTTGACTCAGACTTGCATGTCTAAGTCTCTCGTGCCAAAGGAGGGGATCATTGTCCAACACACTTAAGCAAGTGAGTTCATTTTCTGAAAGAGTGGACAGATCTACAATGTATATATTGTTTACTCTTTTTCCCTGCAAAATAATCTTGTCAGTGGTAAGATTTATCACAAAACATTTGGTAGAGGTGAATGCTACCAAGTTACCTCTGTCACACAGTTGTGATACACTGATTAGGTTGTATTTCAAGCCACTATCAAGTAGACATTCACAATGGAGTCTGAGTCTGTCTTACCTACCTTTCCAACCCCAATGATCTCACATTTCTTACCATTTCCAAAGAAGACATTACCTCCTTTGAGGTCCTCAAGTGAAAGGAACTGGTTCTTGCTTCCTGTCATATGCTTTGAGCAGCCACTATCCATGTACTATATTTGATTGCTCCCCTTCACTTGGACCTGCAAAAGGAAATCAGGGGTTCGTCTTAGGAACCCAAACTAGTTTGGGTCCCTTTCTATAGGCAAAAGGATGTATTAGATTCTTTTTAGCCCATCCTGGAAGCATATTTTTCCCTAGAACAAATGTTTTGTTCTTTAGACTAGCCTTTTCTTTTGCAGTACATTCACTTTTGTAGTGACCAGTCTTACCACAATGTGTGCAGATTTTGTTCTCAGGAAGTGTGATGTACTTGCTTTTGGGATCCCACTTAGGTGCAGGGGTCCTGTAGTCAAGTCCTCTCTTATTGCTACTATGGTGTTCTTGTAGCCATGAAAGTACACCAGAGGACCTATTCCATTTACAGGTTCTGTCTAGCTCGTTCTTAACCTTGCTTAGATCCTCCTTTAGGACTCTTATCTGCTCATCTCTTTTGTACAATCATCTTTCATTTTTCCTAGATTTTCTTCTAAAGTGAGATGTGTGTGATCAACTTTCTTTTTACCTGTTCCTAATTTCAGTTTTAAATTTTCAGATCTAAGTAGCACAGTGGTGTCAAGTTCAAGAACCTGGTTCTTTAACTCAGCATTTTTACTATCACTTTCACTAGCCCTAAGTTCTGGATTTTTGCACTTAGCTTTCAAAATCACACATTCCTTAGACAGCTGTTCCTTTTTCATTATTTATGACCTCAGACTCATCAATGAAATCTAGAAGTAACTCAGATAGACTTTCTTTAGATAAAAACTTAATCTTGTCTTTGAGATGAATTATACTTACCTCAGATTACTCGTCGGATTCTCCAATTGCCATAAGTGCTTGTTCATCTCCATCTTCATCCTCTGAGTCATCATCTGAGCTTTCTATCCAGGCAGCAACCATAGCCTTTGTTGATCCTTTGTTCTTTTTGGGATGAACCTGTTCCTTCTTCCTGTTTCTTCATTCAGCTCTTTCTTTCCTCCATTCAATTTCCCACTGAGTACAATTTTTGATGTGGTGATTAGTCTTCCCACACTTGTAGCCGCCCTTGTTGGTCTACTTTTCAGGAACCCTTGATTTGCTGTAGCTTGCACCTTTTGAGGAACCCTTTCCTCTCATTAGGTATTTCTTGAAGTCCTTTGTGATCATAGCCATTTCATCCTCTTCTAGATCAGCGCCTTCGGTGATTCTGAGTGCCAGGCTCCTTTCCTTCTTGGGTGCATCCATCTTCATGGTTTGCCTTCTAAGTTTATATGCAGTCATATTTCCAATTAGCTTGTCCAACTTCTTTGTGATCATAGTATTTAAAGTTTGCCAGAAAATAAACCACCACACAAATGCGATGTTTTCAACTTCTTCTTCTGTTTATTCTAATTGAAGGAATTGCATAATGCAATTTAAGTTCTTACAACAACTAACTGGTACAAGCGCAGACCGCAGAGTATAAAGGATCTTTTGCTTACTTCTACTCGTTATGGTATACTAATCAGCAATCAATTGTATTTTAATCTTTACACAATTGAGGAAAGAACTGCATTTGTAAAGCACAAGCAAATGCGTTCAGGGTACGATTTTTTGAAGTTTGAACTATGGGGTTCGCACTTTAAGAAGAAGCATAGAAGAAGAAGAGGAGGGTGTCTTTGGCAGTTGACTTTTTAAGTTGTGGTTATATTTTAAATATTTTACAGATATTGGCTATGTTTTCAATAGCTGCTTAGAAGCCCCATAAAAGAGAATTAACCCGTTTGTTATCCACTTCGCCAGTTAGGCGTTAGCCCCTCCAATTTTTCCTTCCTGATTATGATGATGGCAGATTGAAGAGAGCCCATAAAATTCCATGGGAGAAACCAATTAATCTTGCAGTATTCTTGTATTAATATCTGAATTTGACATGAGTTTTACGGTATATGGCGTCTTTTCTCGTTCCACTCAAACATCTCCATTGAGCAATACTATTCGAAGAATCCATCAGTACCCTTTAAATGGTGTTTTTTCGTTGCAAAAAGTTACCATTTTTGGGTACCGTGAATTGGGGTTTAAGCCATTATTAGCTGTGAGTAATGTAGCAGTTGAGAAGGGTAGTGCTGAAAACCAAGCAAATGATAAACCCAGGTATAAGTGGGTTAAGATAGGCTCTGATATTACTGAGGAACAGAAACAAGCTATTTTGAAGCTTCCACCAAAGATGACAAATAGATGTAAGGCATTAATGCTACAGATCATTTGCTATTCACCTGAAAAGGGAAGTGTGTCCCTCTTGTTAGAGGCTTGGGTGAAGAGTATGAAGCCTGAGAGAGCTGATTGGCTTGAGGTACTTAAAGAATTGGACAGGCTGAATCATCCCTTGTATTTTGAGGTAATGTCAGTTTCTTCCTCTACCATATAGTTCTTGATTTCACCCAAATCTTGCTTGCTGATGGATATTGTTCACATTCATTGTGAGTTTGTCACTTAAAGTTTGCTGTATTTGTATTATCTGTAATCAATCATCTATCTATTGTGGAAGATTGTTAATTATAACAATTACTTTCACTACTTTTTTAAACTAGAAATGTAGTCGGGATTGTGCTTGAGTGCCACATTTCCTTCATCAAACTTGAAGTATGTAAGCAGAAATGGTTGAAACTTTTTTCTAAAACTTGTAATTGGTTGGTTTTTAATTCTCGTCCATGTTCACATCACTTTAAGTTTTTTTTGGGAACCATGTCCATAAATTTGTGTTCAACAACTGGTGATATTGCCTCCTGTTACTAACTTCATCATGTTTTTCTTTCCAACAAATTCTGTAGGTGGTTTTGAAACTATTCTGCCAAATCATCTGGATTCTTTCTTTTATTCCATGTCTTCCATACCTTAACCTTTGAAACTGATTTTTCTGATCTTTCTGTTGCCCCATTAAATATTGAAGTTAAAGATCTTTTTGTTTTTGGGGCTGAAGACTTCAATCTATTCCCATGTTTTCTATATCCTTTTCCTTCCGTTTGCAGTTTAGTTTGAGGGCTCACTATTTCAGCACTAAACGAGTGTAATAATGCCTTGAAGTAGTATTGCGATAAAAAAAAACATTGGATAAAATTTTGTCCTATAAAAATTTGACACCATTGCTTGTCAAACAGTGTGTGTTTCCTCTTCATAAGCTTTTGTTTCGTTGGCATTCTCCTTGAAATAGCTGGTACCCTTGCACTAGTTTTAATGTTAACTAGACAGGAATCAGGAAGCTAGATCCAAATTGGATGAATTTGTTATCTTTGTCAATCATCATCCATTGGATAGCTTAGATAATTGAAATTAGGAGTTGCGCATAATGACCTACTAAGACTTAAATAACTACATGTCTTCTATGGCATTTGTCGTCTTTTCTATAATGGTTGCTATGTTGGGAGGTTGTTTTCTTCAACTGATCTTTAAACAGGGAGGCAATGGCTTAGATATCTTCCCTGAGGTTATAAGGTGTATGTTCGATTTCTGTCTTTTTCTGCATAGAAGGTTGCCTCGTTGCTTTTTAGAATTAAAGCCAAAACTGCTCTTCTCTGTTCTCACAAAGCTCAATTGATGTCTACCAGAAACGCTTGACGATTTCCACTCCTTACTTTACCGTTCACGCTAATATATACTATTATTTCTGAGCTGATGCAGCATTCTACAAACTATCTAATTACTTAACATAATCAAACTAATGTTTCAAACAATTTGTCTAATCAATATACACAATCTATTAGTTAGTTTTATAACTCTTAATCTATGTGATAGGTCTTTTTTTTTTGTGTGGTGCCGGAGAGCAATTGTCTTCCATCACCACCCTATTTCTTTCTCCAGTTGCCATTAACATTATTGTGAGATGACAGGGCATCTTTCTATAAGACTATAACTGTCATATGGATGTGCTACGGTGCTAGTACTTTTTACTCTGGCATACCCTTACCGGTTTGTGGTAAAACACTTGATGCAGTGCCTTAGTTGTTCTCATAAAAGCTTGCTCCCCTCTCCCTAGGAGATGAGAGCAACTGGCACATGTCAAAGATCCTAGTTACAGCTAACTAGCCCTCCAGCAATTTCAATCAACTATGCCTCAATCTCAAATTTGTTGTGGTTGACTATATGAATAATTTGTATCCATTCTGCCCTATTCAAGTTTATTTCATTCCAATACTAAAATATTTGTCTTTCAAGGCAAATTAGAGATTATCTAAAACTAGGGTTCTTAAAATTTCATACTTATCCACCTATCCAAAAAATTACTAAAAGAATTCGTACTTATCCCTGTACAGGCATATAAGTCTTACTGGATTAAATGATTAATTTTATTATTGCTGTCTATAAAGCCTCAGTTACTGGTTATTTGAGTTGCCTTATTTCCTTTTCGTTAGTGTCAATTTGTCAGTTTGTTACTGCAAGTTGCTGGTTTCTTTTACAGTTGGACGTGCAGAATTCCGACTTCGTTAGTAATCCTAAGAGCTCCATGACAGCATATATACAAACAACTTCATTAAATTAAACCTGGGGAGAGGGTGGAGGTTTTATTGTTGGGGGCGAGGACACAGACCAGCAATCTCAGAGCTTAGCTTATTTAGAAACTATAAGGAGGAAAACTGCACTTTGAAGTATGTGTTAAATGCATCACGCCAGATACTTGCCGTGTTATTATTTGGAATCCCTTTCAATCAGGAAACTATAGAATCATTAGAATACCATGAAGATCTTCTAATTCATTAATAGTCCATGAATATAGAATTATCTTAACATAACTTTTCTTTAATGGTAGTATATATTAATCTGTACCACAATATGCTAGCCAATTTAGTCCCATTTCCTGCTGTAATGTGCTGTGCAAATGCATCTCCAAAAAGATATGTGCTAGACTCAAGAAGGCTATTGTACAAGTAGTGGCTGAAAATCAGGCAGCTTTTGTAGAAGGCAGATCCCTAATACACAATGTATTGATCTGTCACGACCTACTCAGACACTATAAAAGTAAAACCTCACCAAGGTGCCTAATGAAGATTGACTTAAGGAATTGATATGGTAAGCTGGGAGTTCTTAGAAGAAGTTCTAAGGGGCTATGTGTTTCCAGGTTCTTTTGTCCAGATGGTAATGACTTGTGTTTCATCAACTAAGTTCTCTATTAAGGTTAATGGTGAGGGGTATGGGTATTTTGAAGGAAGAAGAGGACTTAGGCAAGGTGATCCCATGTCACCTTTGTTGTTTGTCCTAGTTATGGAGTACCTATCAAGAACTCTAAGGAGAATGAATGAGTTGCCAGACTTCAAATTCCAACCAATGTGCAAGAGCACTAAGCTAACTCACTTAACTTTTGATGATATTTTGCAAAGGAGATATGAAATCAATCTCTAGAGTTATGGGAGCACTGCAACATTTCAGTAAAGTATCAGGCCTAATTGCCAATCTTGATAAGTCTAGTATCTTTATTGCTGGTGTAGATGAGGAGGTCAAGCAGAGTATACTAAACAAAACAGGGTTCTCTTTAAGAAATCTGCCTATGAGGTACCTAGGATTGCCACTATCTTCAAAAAAATGGAGCAAGATGGAATGTCACCAGTTGGTGGATAAAATCACTGACAGGATAAAAAATGCATACTCCAGACAGTTGTCATATGCTGGTAGATTACAAATAATTAATGCAGTGTTGTTTTCAATATATAACTTTTGGGGTGCTGTGTTTATACTGCCCCAGAGTGTGCTAAAAGAGGTAGACCGGAAATGTAGGGACTATCTATGGGGGAGCTCTGAGGAGAAGAGGAAGTTAGCACTGGTATCCTGGGAGAAAGTCTGTAATCCAAAAAAGTATGGTGGCCTTAATATAAAGAGTTGTAGGGAGTGGAATATTGCATCAGTAGGGAAATTATTATGGCAGTTAGCTGATAAACAGGACATGTTATGGGTAAAATGGGACATGGAGTTTATATGAAAGACAGAGGCAATATATGGGAGCACAGGCCACTTACAGAAGACTAGCTGGTACTGGAAGAAGTTAAATGCTTTGAAAACACAAATGATGAACTGGTATTGCAGAGGAGTGTATCAATTGACTGATAATGGAGTGTACTCAGTATCCAGAAGTTACAATGCTTTAAAGGGCAGCCTAGAAAGAGTTAAAGAAGCAGACCTTATTTGGAGCTCACTAATGATGCCAAGACAGAGAGTTGTTGTATGGATTGCAGCCCAGGAGAAGCTACTTACAAAGGAAAGACTACACAGACTCAATATACAAGTAGAAAATGATAATTGCTGCTTATGTGAGGAAGGAATCAGGGAAACTCAACAACATCCGTTCGTTGAATGTAGATGGATCACAGAAGTGAAGAATGCACTGTCGACCTGGATAGGAATACGAATACAGAAGAAAGGAGTACAGCAGTATATGCAATGGATTAAAAGAAGGCATTGGAGGCAATTCAAGAAAGAGATGCTGGCAGCAATATGGGGTTCGATGATTTACCATACATGGCAAGCGCGCAATTGGAAGATATTTAGGAATACAAATGTAAATACAAGTTTTGTAGTAGCACAAATTAAGGAGATAAGAGAGAGGATAGGATTAGTGCAACACTCGAAAAAAGCTAGTAGATGTTATAGTTTGATTCAAAAGCTATGTAATTAGTTTGAAGTTTTCTTGATAGTTTGAGGTCTGCTCATAGTACCCTCCCTTGGAGGTGGCTATGGCACGAGATGCTCCTGAGATGTATAAAGTTTGTTGTTAATGGTAATTTCACAGGTTATTACCAAAAAAAAAATATATTAATCTGTACCCTTGTATGTGCCTAAGGGATTGATAGAACTGGTTTATGGTATGCCTTCCCACTAGGTTGAGTTATTTGAAGCCAGTTTTTGACTTATACCTAGAAAATTCATGGGTATGAAAAGCTCAAGCCTTTCTCTTTTCTTTTTTAGACGGTTGCAATTCCAATCTTCCAAATCCATAAGGTGACTAATATTTAATCTGTGGATTGTTCTTTAGTTCTAGTATTCTCCTAAAGAGCATTTGATTCTTCTATTCCATTTTGTCATTAATCTATAAAGAGTTATCCATCTCCTTTTCAATATTAAGCCTTTCAAGAGTATTAATTTCTGACCACTCTAGCCCCAAAATTGTTGGAATTTTCCATAGAGCCTCACTATCGATCAGTTATAGAATCACAATTTGGTTAAGAACAAGTGAAGACACACCATTCTCTTCATCCCAGTTGAAAAGAAAGATAGGAATCAGAAACAGGGCCACAGTTGTTGTGAATTTTCTTGATTTATGTGCTTACTAATCTGTTCACCAAACTTTGAATTATTTGAATGAAGACCGAGGAAGTCAGTCAACTTATTAGTTCCTTGGTGCACTTTCTGTATCTCAGGTAGCTGAAGTGTCCCTCTTAGAAGAATCATTTGAAGCCAACGTTCGTGATTACACCAAGATTATTCATGGCTATGCAAAGCAGAATCGGCTGAGAGAAGCTGAAAGTATGCTCTTAGCCATGAAGACTAGAGGCTTCACATGTGATCAGGTGGTTCTCACGGCTTTAGTTCACATGTATAGCAAGGCTGGTAAGCTTAAGATGGCTGAAGATACTTTTGAAGAGATGAGGTTGCTTGGAGTAACATTAGATAAGAGATCCTACGGGTCAATGATCATGGCCTACGTCAGAGCTGGAATGCTTGGCGAGGGAGAGGCATTACTGAAGGAAATGGAAGAACAAGAGATCTATGCTGGAAGAGAAGTTTATAAAGCAATTCTGAGAGCCTATTCGATGATTGGTGATAGCAAAGGAGCTCAGAGGGTCTTTGATGCTCTCCAGTTAGCAGGAATAATCCCTGATGCGACCGTCTGTGGGCTGCTTATGAATGCCTATGTTGTGGCTGGTCAATTGAGCGAGGCTTGTATTGCGTTTGAAAATTTGAGAAGAGCTGGCATAGAACCTAATGACAAGTGTATCGCACTGCTGTTGTCAGCTTATGAAACCGAAAACAACCTGAGCAAGGCACTTGATGTTTTGATGAATTTGGAGAGGGATGGTGTTGTGCTTGGTAGAGAAGCTTCCGAAATATTGGCTCGTTGGTTCAAGAAACTTGGGGTAGTTGGAGAAGTGGAACTTGTGTTGAGAGAATTTATGCATCAAACTTAGTGTATTAAGAATACTGATGCTTTCTGCTGTTGTCTGAAGTTTCTCTCCGTTGCATCTGTTTGAGAACCAGTCTTGGTTTCCTATCTACAGGTATGTAAACTTTTTTCGCTTAAAGACTTTGTTTGCTAAATCTATCTTCAGTAAGTCTGGCCCATCCCTGCCTCCCAATAAGAAAAAGGGGCTAGTAAAACAAAGAGAACTGGAAACAAGAGCTTGCTTTTTTCATTTTGACTTGGTGAATATACTCGTAAATATGCATACAAGCATATGTTCAAGCACAAGATAATCTCGTGGACGACTCATATGTCAAGCTTTTCGGGCCTAGTAGTTTAGTTTAAAGTTTTGGCTTTGGTTCAGGTATCTTCACACTTTGCTGCAAGTAAATACAACATACTGCCCCGGAAAGTATCACAAGTTACAGCTGCTTGTATCAACAAAACAAGCAGAGAGTATGTTTTTCATATTTCTGGTAAGAGGTTGAGGGCAACAAGCAGTTTTTCATGTATGTAAACAACTCTCAAATACTGGAATCTGTCTCCTGAGTCTTTCGGCAACAGGAGCAACAGAACGGTTGGCTGAAACAACGGTGTACATAATAAAGGTTATGGCTCTGTCCCAAGTGTTGGTTGATCATCTTCTTTCAGCTTCAGTTTTTAGTCATGTGAAACCTTTCCTTGAGTTGGTTCATCCTGAGTTGTAACCCTTATTTTTGTGGAACCTAATCCAAAAGTGTTTGATTAGAGAAATAAGATTAAGAAAGTATGTGCACTTCAGATCTGGAAAAATAAAGCGATGCCAAAATCTGCCATTTTGATTACTTCTTATTGCATACTTTAGGGCAGGACGAGATTTTGATTATGACAACTACACTTTATCTCCATCAAAAATTGATTGTTCTTTAGTTCGATAAGTACAATTCCCAGCTCTCATTCCACAAATAGTTATATTGAAAGCACTCGACTGTATAGAGTTATAGACTAGACAAAATGGCAAAAGATACTGTGTAAATTAAAGGAATGTGAGAATATGCATTCACTGTTTGATTTTTATGCGCCAATAAATGGTGTAGGAAATATTTGATGCTAATTTAAATTTATAATGTGTGCATACATGTGATTTTTAATTAACTCGTCTGTGGATATGTGTGTGTGTGTGTGTGTGTGTTAACATGTATGAAGGACAATTAAGCAATTTTTCGGCAAAATTAGTACTATGTTAGTCTAAATTTGATAAAATAATTAGTGCACTATAAAGAAATAACAACGGCAAGTCGACAACATGAGTTATTTCGAATAAATAATCCTATTTGAACCTAAATACATGAGGAACTTAGTAAGAAAATTGAGAAATTTGTGATAATTGATTATACAAAGAAAAGAAAGTTGCAGAAAAAGAAATTTATATGGAAAAATGGTGTTTTGTTTCTTCTAGGTAAAGAAAAGAAAAGAAAAATTGGGTTGCCATAGTGGAGAAGTAACGAATTATAATCACTCAATTATTCTGAATAACAAAATTACCCAAATAGGAAATAAGGAAGAGGAGGAGAAGAAAAATGTTGTTGTTAAAGATAACATAGTCCTTTGCCAAAAACTCTCAGGGTTGTTTGGTGGGTGGGATAAGGAATAATAATATCGAGATTAAATGCGAAATTATTTTATTTCGTATTTGATTGAATTCGAATAATCTATACCATAATTATTTTATTATTCTATCTCATCTTGAGAGTGGGATAATAATCATGGGATTACTTAATCCCGAGATAAAATACGACAAAAATGCTCTTTTCCAAGGCTCTTCACCCAAAATCCTTTAAAAAGTCTTACGTTAAAATTGAAAATAAAACTTTATCCTAACTTATCTAGTTTACACCAGACATATGTTTTATATTATACCCCATATATTTCATTTCTAGTTCAAGGAGCCAATATCTCTCAATAAAAATATATCCACTATTATATAATCTTGTTGCTATTTAATCCTCGTATTATAATCATGTCATTGTAACCCTGTAATAACTTGTTCCGAACCAAACAACCCCTAATTGCTTGTACTTCAAACGAGAATAATAAAACTTCAGAAAAAGGTTACAGGGTGTGCGATCTGCCAATATCCTCTTTGAGACGTAAAAGATACAATGTCCTCCTTAATCTATAACCTCATGACTTAATTTGTTAATGATGATTCAAAGCCGATTTTTTTTTATCACGTACTGTTATTAATCTAAAATATGATAAGTTTTCTTATTGTTTGTACATTGAACGGTTTATTAAGAAATACATCCTGAAATCCATTGTATAACAACTGGGCAACCCAAAATAGGACATCATCAGATATTTATCAAATTAAATTAGGAATTCAAAGTCAACTTTGAGGAAAATTTTAGGGTATCAAATATCAATCATCATCTTCCCTTATGCGATTCGTTGGAGAAGAACAATAGGTGGATTATAACGGATTTCATCATCTCTGCTTCTGGATATTCATGACTATCCATCATAATACAATCTTTTAGCATTTAGTGCCTAGGCAGCTTTTTGACAACGGGTTTGTTTGACCAAAAAGTGTTAAACTCTTTGGTTAAACTAATTAATAATAATACGAAGGGCGAATCTTAGTTAATGATAATAAATTCAAGACCGGATGCTAAACGAAATGTGCAGAACAGGAGATGTCAATAAATATGTTTGAACTGATTAAATGCTCATAAATGCGACAACATAACTAATCAATGAATATATAGATTAATGCTATTAGCACAACAAGAAGGATTTACTTCCCCAGTGTCGTGAGATCCAAACAATTCTTTCTCCGGACAACAACGTGAAATGAATAGAATAATAGAGAGTTGTAGGATCGTTGGATCTCGTGAATATAGAACCAAAAATATAGATTCGAACCCAGTAATCAATGAATGGGACAATTTTGTACTCAGATCAACTCTTACATGAAGTCTCTTTTTGTGTAGTCCCCCTTTTTGTTCTCTATCTCTTCCTATTTATAAGGGACATTTCCCAAAAATTCTATAAAGTACAAAGCAAGGAATATTCCATGTGTCTAAATTTGAATTTTGGCTACTATTGCCTCGTATCACAGCTGCCCGTCTTTGGCACAAAACGTTTCAAAAGCAAACCTCAGTCGCCTTACCATGGTCGACCCCGTCCTTTATCTTAATTATACTTTATTATCGATATGCCAAATTTTGACCTATACAGTTAGTCCCTCCGCTTGTTAAGGCCGTGGTCCTGTATGCCCTCGACGAGCGGACCTGATTTCCCTTCGTTTTGGAAGAATTTGGTCATTGAATAAGCAGGGTCGACCCAGATGGAGAGAAAGATGCAACTGGAGGAGTCGCGCTTGGTGTGGCTACCATGGAGTGACGTCACAGCCAAGCACGTCATAATTACGCATCTTCCCGAGACAACGTCTGCGTGCCTGTCGCTTTGGTTCTGGTGTTATTTGACAATCCTTTGCTTTGATTCTTGCGCCACTCAGCCCTATAAATAGACGAGGATTTCGTTTTTCAAGAGTTTTCACCCTCTTGCATGAACATTATTCCCCTTTGACCTTCTTTACCAGTGTCTGCTCTTTGCTTTCGCGATTCCATATCTCCCATTCTTGTCCAGTTGTTACCTTATTTTCCAGGTTTAGTAGTATATCTTTTATTGTCGAAACGTCGCAGAATTTTCGGATTCACGATGAAATTTCTGATGCCACTCCGTTATCGGTGGCCCCTCCTTCTGGTGGTGACGATCTCATGGCTGAGGAAGTTGAGAGCTTTCCCACTGTGGAGGAGATAGTTCCCAGGAATCCCTTATCTAGAAACGATTTTCCCAAAGGACCTACTCCTGCTCTGTTCAGGTGATTTCCGAGACTGGACCGTCTCATATAGCTGAGCTCCGATCTACATATCGCATCCCTTCCCACGTCGAGATAGTGCCGGCTGGTGGCGACATCGTGGAGGTCCATCAACCTGGATATTGTGCCTTCTATGTCTACCCCTTCTTAATTGGCTATACTATCCCACTCCTTCCGCTGGCGGAAGAATTTTGACGGTTTTATAACGTCTGCCCGGCACAACTATCTCCGTATTTGTATAAAGCTTTTCTGATGCTGACGATGTATGCGGAATTGGCTGGTTGTGAGGTCGACGTACGCCACTTATTGCACTTATTCTTACCAAGTTTTTACAGAGATACTATGATACATCTGCGGCATCGTGGGACCAGAGGGCTGATAGTCGGAATGGATGACAGGAAGTTTTGGCACAAATACTTTTTTATCAAAACTGAACATTTGTGGTGGACCCGACTGGGTTTCCCAAGCAGTGGAACCATAATCGTAAGCGTTTTGGCGTACGCTTGGTCTTTTTTCGTCCTTTTGCTTTTCGCTAATTTGTGGCTTTTTTGTTTTGTTTTTTCAGCTCAGAGGCGTGCACCCTCCCCTGTCTTCGGTATTGAAGACTGGGTGGCTCGCGTGTTACCCCACATGGCGGGTATTCGTGATTGGGCGATTTTCTACAAATGCTTTGGACCGAAGGTCTCGTCTAGTAAGTGTTATTTTTGCTTCGGCCTTCTGTTGTTTGTCATTTGTTTGTTGATACGACTTCCTTATGATGCCAGGTCAACGGGCTTCAAAAAAGAAAGCTCTAGTGCCGGCATTTTGCCAGGCTATTGCATCGGCCGGGATGCAATTTACTTTGGCTGAATCCGTCCGTGGAGGTCGTACTCAAGCTCTATCAACGAGGGATCCCCCTCAGAGTATTGCTGCATGGGATGAGATCTCCTCCCGGCCTATCTACCATCTCGTAGATGAGTCGTCTAATGGAGAGGAGTCGCCGTCGAGAAAGAGGCGAAGAGTGGAACTTGGGAAGGCCGCCCTTACCGGTACTGAGCCAAAGAGAATCACTGCTCAAGAGGAGGTGCCTGCACGTATGCCAGGCGCAGTGGCCGTTTTCATGGCAAATGCTATTAAGGAGGGGAGGTCTTTTAGGGCCGAGGGGATGCATGGAGGTGAGGAGCCTGTACGGACCGCAGATGGCGGTGCGTCGTCAGCGACCGAAGGAGAAGAAGTGGTACTTGTGGGAGACGATGGCTCTGGTTCAGACATCGACCTCGATGAGATACGGTCCTTCTTAGACAGGATCACTCGCGTAGAAGTGAGGACGGAAGGTCCTAACAGGCACATAATCATTCCCATATGCTATAACCTTTTGGCTAACTCTGAGCGGGCAGTGCCGTCCTTTGTCCCCTTGTGCGCGGTTTTTGAGAATACGACACTGCAGACGATGAGCATGTCGAGCTGTCACTGAGTATCTCCGGCATGGCTTTGCGAGTAAGTGCCTTTTTTTTCTCTTTTGCCTCGCCTGCATAATCTGCTTGTGCTGTCTTCTTTCTTTCGCATACCAGACTCTAATCATGGGAACTGAGCGTGATCGGCGGAAGGAGAGGAGGACGGCCCTTTCTAAGAGGATGACTTCCAAGTACAAAGAGTACCGTACTAAGCACCGAATGCTGGCCGACGTCTTTAACCAAGATAACGAGTTTCAGCTATTTCGTGACGGGCTCAAACAGAAAGAGGAGGAGTTGGCGAGGAAAGTTGAGGAGTTGAAAGAGCGGGATGATGAGCTGATGAAAGCCATAGGTCGCTGCAGCGAGCTCGAGGCGGCTCTTAAGGCCAAAGACGATGAGCTCGAAGTGGGCAAGGGGGTGATGGCCGAGAATGCCGGCCTTCAAGCGCGGGTGGCTTTCTTAATTGCTTAACTTGAGCGGAGGGAAAAGGAGGCTATCGCTCAGAGGGGAGAGTTGAGCATCAAAGTCGAGGAATTGACCCGTGCCGAAAAAGATAGAGTGGCCGCCCTGGCTGAAGCAGAGGCCTTAGATGACGCCCTCCGTGTTTGTAGGT